AGTCCCGCCACCGTGTCTGGGTTTTGGTTTATGAGCTCAGTGGATGTTCGTTGGGATCTCGTGGGAGGCCTCTCGGGGGCCTGTTGGAGGCAGTTTTGAAGCCTCTTGGGATCCGTTTTGGGGTCTCTTGGGGCATCTTTTGGGCCTCCTGGGGGCCTCTTGGGGTCTCCTGAGGGCCTCTTGGGCGCCTCTTGCCGCCTTCTGGGGTTCTCTTGGGGCGGAAGGCTCGGATTTTCGGCTCGCGTTCCCACTCTTGGGCCTCTTTTGGGGCCCAAGTGGGGCCGACGCTGACGATGGCGCCGACGCCGATGCCGACGCCGACGCCGACGCCGACGCCGACGACGACGCCGCCGACGCCGCCGATACCGACGCCGACTCCGACGACCTGGGGACAGAGCAGGCGTTGGAACAGAAGCCGGGGGCGCCAGACGACCGTCTGGCGCCCGCGGCCCCTGCTCGAGCAGGAGACTGCCCACCCGCGCGCCTCCTCGACCGGCCCTGCTGCCGGAGGCAGGGCTGCGCACGAAACGCTCGACAATGCCGGCGCCCGGAGCGACGGGCCTCCCAGATGCCGCGGCGCGGGGCTTTGCCAGGTGCAGCCGCGCGGAGGCGGCTCGCCTGCTGTGTCCATCGACAGGCGTCCGGAGGCCACTTCGCGGACGCCGCGCCATCCTCGCGGCCCCCGCCCTCTGGTGGCAATAGCGTTGGCGGAGGAGGTCGGGCAGTGCGCTGGCGCGGCCATGCTCTCGGGCGTGGGGGGCCGCTTCCAAATCTCACGTCGCGGCGTGGAGGCTGCGGCTGGGCTCCGCATCGTCTCGCGCGGGCGCCGGGGCTTCGCGGCGGAACTGGCTCCGACGCAGCAGCGACAGCGCAGCTTGCGCGGATGTGTGCAGCGACGGCGGGCTTCTAGGCGACCAGCGGCTCCGGGCGATGCCCTGGCGCAGCGGCGCGGCGCGCTTCGGCGGGGGCGCGGCGGAGGCCGATGGATGCAGCGACGGCCGGCCATTTGGCGACCAGTGGCCCAGGCTGCCGTTCCTTCCGCTGCAGCCGCAGAGTTGTTCGGCATCGACGTCATCGAACACTCCTCCTCAGCAGGCAGGGCCCTCCGCCGCTGCATCCTGCCCTCTCCCTCCCTCCTCCTCCCTCGGTCTTCCCTTGACCGTTTCCTCGTTGCCTGCCCGCGGTGGCGGCGTCGCTTGGGGCATGCCCTTCTGTCGGTCCATCCTGGGGCATTCCTCTGCCGAGGCTTTCAGAGTATTTGCAGCGACCCGCTGCCGGCCCTTCCCATCGCGGCACGCATGCTCGCGGCGTTCAGACGCCCCTCGCATGCGTCAGCTTGGGGGCAGCCGCCCCGCGGGCAGCCCAACACGAGCTGCCCCTGGTCGCGCGGCAGGTCCTTGCCGACGAGAGGTGGCCCCTCTTCCTGCTCAGCACGTGCAGTCAGTCTGCCTGTGCTTGCCCCCGCCTGGGGTGCCTCTGACCCGCCCGCTGGAGGGCGCGGAGCGGCCGCGGCCCGGCCAACCCCGCTTCCTCGCACAGCGCTTCTCCACCGCGTTGGCGACTACGCGTTCTACTACCTGGGGAACTGGGGCCGCCTGTCTCCTCAGCATCCGCTGGGCGCGACCTCCTCGCGTTGCCCGCGCCAGTCCCTCGGCGTCGTTCTCGCTCCTCCTACGGGGCTTCCTGGTCGCTTCTCTATGTCTGTCTGGCCGACGGTTCAGGGGCGTCGAGTTTGGCATGCGTGCCTGGGGAATTGTGCGCCGGTCTCTCTCGCCCAGTATGTCTCCGCCGTTCTGGGTCACTGTGGCGCCCTCTCCGCGTCGCAGTGGGGTCGCCCTCCATTGGCCTGCGTCGATTCGGTTGCCGGGAGAAGCACCTGGATCCTTATCGACACCTCAGTGGACGTGATCCCGGTGCCGCTTCGCGGTGCCACCGGCGCCACTTTGGCAGCGTTGGGCCCCGTCCCGCTCTGAGCCAGACGCTGCTCGCCTCTCTGTTTTTCCCTTGGCTACAGAGCGCGGCCCGCCCTAGCTTGCTCGGCGTTCGGCTCGTCTTCGCGCGCCCGCGTGCCAGAAATACCTCCGCCAACCCATTCAGAAACGCTGCCGATGGGAGCTGATCTTCTCGAGGCTCTCGTGGGATCCTCTTGGGGCTCCTTCGGGACCCTCTTGAGGACCCCTTGGGGCTTGTTTGTCTCGGGGTCCTCTTGGGGTTCTCTTTGGAGCCTCTTGGGAGCCCCGGAGGGCCTCTGGGGGCCATCTTGGAGGCCAACGGGGGGTTTCAGTCATGTCTCCCCTCAAGCGCCTTCAACCAGTAGATTGGTGTCCTCGTGGGGCTTTCTCGGGGCCCTCCTGAGGCCTTATTAGGGTTCGGTTCGGGAGGGTTGGGGTGCCTCTGGGGCCTCTTTCGGGGGCGTCTTGGGGGCCCTGGATGGCCTGTTGGGGCCGCCTTGGAGGCCGAGGAGGGCGGTCCCTTCTTCGTATCTCCTCCGAGAAAAGTCCCCAACACCGCATTTTGATGCCTTCTCGGGGTGCTCTTGATTGAGGCCGTTTGGGGTGGCCTCTTGGGCTCCTCCCGGGCTCTCTTGGGTCATCTTGGGGCCGCTTCGGGGCTGCAGACGCCCGTCGGACGCGAACGGGCGAGGCGGCAACGGGTTTGGAACTCTTGGGGGGGTCTTTGGGCGGTTCTTAGTTTGTGCCATCGTGGAGGCCTTCTTGGAGCATCGGAGGCCCTCTTGAAGCCGTCTTGGGTGACAAGAAACCTCTTTGCACCTCCGCCCCCCTCTCATCCAGACCCCTGGGAAGGAGTTGGGATCGGGGTCGAGCTGTCCCGAGCCGCCGCGAGCCGCGCTGCTCACTCCCACCCGCCCTCCCTAAACATAGACAAAGTGCAAGCCTGGGGCCCCGATCCCCTTGGGTTCATGAGCCCCGACGGAAACATGGAGCAGGCAACGTGGGGACACCCCCGCAGCCCTTTGTCAAACACTAATGTAAAGTGATCGCGGTTCGCCCACGCATGATCCAGACCTTGCCGCAAAGTGCATGTTGTATGATTCTTTTCTGGGATCGTGAGCCTGCACAGGGAGGCCAATATACGCGCAGCGCCCCTCCGCCACCCCGCCCCTCCATGTCAACCACCATTGCAAAATGATAGCGGGACGCCCGCGCATGGAACAGCTTGTGGGAGCTCCTGCCAAACAGGCGCCCGCGCACGGCCCAGATTTTGCAGCAATTTGCATGTTGCTTTCTTGTCTTACAACTGGGATGGCAGACCTTCACAAAAGCAGGCAATACGAGGGCACCCCCGCCGCCCTTGTCAAACATTAATGCGAAGTGATCGCGGGGCGTCCGCACATGATCCAGATTCTGGTGCAAGGTGCACTTCTGCATTTCCCAACCGTCCTGTGGTGTTGGGTCCTCGTTTTGAAAAGACGGTCCCCGCGTTCCTCTTCTCTCCGTTGCTCTCCTCTCCTCCTCCCCCTCCTCCTCCCTCCTCCCATCGCCCCCCTCACGTTGGCGCACCCCTCACACGCTACGTGGCCCCATAGGGAGGACCACCGACGGCCCAAATGCCAGCGTTCGCATGCGGTCCCCGCACCCATTTTGGCATACCCCTTGCACGTTTCGTGGCCATGGGCAGCCCCACCGAAGGCCCAAATGCCAGCGATCACATGCGATGACCGCACCCATTTTGGCAAACCATTCACACGCTTCGTGGCCCCATAGGCAGCCCCTCCGAAGGCCCAAATTCCAGCGTTCGCATGCGGTCACTTCACTCATTGTGGCACAGCCCTCCCGCGCTTCGTGCTCCCATAGGGAGCCCCATCGAAAGCCCAAATGCCAGCGTTCGCACGCGGCCACCGCACCCATTGTGGCACACCATTCGCATGTTTCTTGGCCCCAGAGGCAGCCCCACCGAGGGCCCAAATGCCAGCGTTCGCGCATGCGGTCACCGCACCCATTTTGGCACACCCCTCCCACGCTTCGTGGCCCCATACGGAGCTGCATCGAAGGCCCCACTGCTACCGCCCGCATGCGTCACACTTGTCGCTGCCCCGTAGGGCGTTCCGCCTAAAGCTCCAGTGGCAGCGCCCACGGCGGCCCCGCCCCACATCGGCACACCCTTCGCATGCTTCATGGCCCCATGACGAGATCCCCCGAAGGCGATACCCGCAACGACGGCACTCACAACTGCATATGGTTGGGTTCTTCACCAGGATAATGTTTTTGGCCAGGGGTGGGGTGGGGGAGGCTCATTGGCCCGTGTTTGTCGCTATTCGGGTGGGGGAGATATACGAAGGAGGAGCAGCGAACAAATCCCTGCAGGAGCAGTTGTGGAAGAAGGGAGAAACTTGTTTGACCACCTGCGCCCAGAGGGCTGGTGGGATTCAAACTGACTGCGGGTTGCCAGCAGTGTGTATTGCATGTGCACCCGCAATCGTTGTGCATTGTCATTAGGGGTTGTGGGCCTGCGCGCAGCGGGCGATATGATGGCACTCCCGCCGTCCTTGCCAAACACAGTGTACATTGATCGCGGGGCGCCCGAGCTAGATTTAGATGTTACAGCATAATGCATTTAGTATTTTTTCAGATCGGGATTCTGGGGGTGGTTCGGCATTGTTCCTAGTTAGTCGCCGGTCGAGTAGTGGAGGGGAGGCTCCCCAGTAGGGGTCAGTGATGACCCCCTCCCTGAAAGTGAAGAAGGGGGCTGGAAGAAGAAACGCCTCAGGCCAACTTAGCCCGCAGGGCTGGTGGCACGACTCCTCTGTGAGCTACTAGAAATCCGACGTGGTGATTTTTTCGAAACGTGGCTCCCAGGCGGTCTGGACCCTTTCTCTGGGACAAGGTTTTCATCTCGGGCCGTTTCTGTTATGTTCCATGGGGCGAGGACAAAGGAGGCCGAAAGGTACCAAAACTCTGCCGCCGTGGTGTTTGGTCACGACGCAAGGATGTCAGCGTGCTGTCGCGATTCCTCCGTGAGCTCCTCCTTCGCGAGCGCAGGCGCGCCAGCGGACACCGCCCTGGGCGACCTGGCGAGGCTGCGCGCGGCGGTGATCGGCTCGAAGGAGTGCCCCTGGGCGGCTCGGCCTGTAACTCGCTCCTCCCACTGCCGGTGCGGGGCAGGGACGGGTCGGTCGGACGCGGCAGTGCAGCAGTGTGTGCGCCGGTTCGGCGAAAGTTCTCACCCCGAGAGCCGAGGGGGCAACTCTTACGTCGGCCGCCACCCCTCTGCACGAGGAGGGAAGCGCAGCCCTGGGCTGACCCGACGAGCTGCCATGGTGGCACCAAGCCGTCCTGGCACGAGCCAAGGGCAGGGGGGGGCTGGCAGAATCGCGAAGCCAAAAGCAACGAACAACTAAGCAAAGCAGCCGGAGAGGCAGCAAGGGACGGGGAGAGGCGAGGAGGGATTCGCCTCGCGTCGCGCACAAAAACACGACGGGAAGGTTTTCGTGATTTTCAGCCCTCGGGGGCCCTCCCCAGGCGTCAGGACCGCAAAAAACAATGCAGAATGAGAAACGGATGCCTGGGAGGGGCTCCAGACTTCTGGGGAGCCACGATGTGGCAAAAGTCAGGACGTCGGATTTGTAGGGGTCAGTCATGCTTAGGATGAGTATAGATCGCTCCAGAGCGTTCAGGAACGCTCTCAGAGCGTTCTGCTTGGGCGGCGCGGCCGTCAGCCGCTGCCTCCGCCCGCTGGGCGAGGGAGAGGGGGGATTGACGGGGAGGGGGCGGAGGGATCAGTCGGAGGATCAGGGACAACGTTAAGGGGGGGGAGGGGGGACGGCTCAGGGGGGGGGGGGCGCATCGACCCCCAATCGCCCAGTGATCGCCGATAGGTGCCCATTTGCCCTGGGGCCCGAGGGGGGCATCTCCCCTGTAAAGGCCTGTTGGGTAAGAGTTTGGGCCTTTTCTGGCAACCAGCGCAGGGGATTATCCGTGAGGGCTTCGCCCCATGCCGCTGGCTCCCTGTCGTGGACAATGGGAGATGCAACAGCTAAATCATGAGGTCTGGGCGCCGCCGTGAAGCAGTGTCGGGACCTGTTTGTTTTTCGACCCTGACCCCGCCGATCTGCGTGAGGGGTGCCACCGAATTTCAGAAATGTAGCAAATCCCGTGTGTTTTTGGACTCTGACCCTGTCGATCCGCGTGAGGGGTGCCACCGAATTTCAGAAATGTTGAGTGGCGGTTCACAACTGGGCGCTCGTTCGGTGTGCCACCAGTCGGCGGCGCGAGGGGATGCGCAACAGCGGCGCGGAAGTATCGGGCCGCGCCGGATCGACGGAAAATCGGAATCGAATCGGATCGAGCGAGTCGGATCGAGCCGGCCGAAATCTACATCGAACCGGATCGATGGGCGCGGCGGCCCTGCGCGGCCCAGAGAGAAAGAGACCGGCCCCCCCGGAGGGGGCCTCCGAAGCGGCCAGGGCCAAAAGGTGTGCCCGCCAGCGAAGCCGTCGCCTTCGGCAAGTGGCCTCGCCCCCCGCCTGAATTCGAGGCGCGCTGGTCCAGGCGTCGCCTGCTCCCTTCTTCGGGCATTGGTGTGGCCCACGCCGCCTCTGAGAGGAAGAGGAGGCGGAGGAGGAGGAGGACGACGACGACGACGAGCTGCCTGCAAGGTCGGCCAGGCAGAGGGAAGGAGGGGAGGCGGGTGCGAAAGGGTCCAGGCGTCGCCTTCTCCTTCCCTCCCTCCATCCCTCCACATCATCGCAGTTTCCTCCTCCTCCTCCTCCTCCTCCTCCTCCTCCTCCTCCTCCTCCTCCTCCTCCTCCTCTCCTCTCTCTCCTCTTTTTTTCTTCTAATCTTTCTCTCTTCCCTCTCCCTCCTCTCCTCCTCCTCCTCCTCCTCCTCCCTCATCTCATCCTCCTCTCCTCCTCTCCTCTTCTCCCCTCCTCTCCTCTCCTCCTCCTCTCTCCTCTCTTCCTGCCCCCTCGCTCCCCTGGGCTCGCTCGTCCTCGGCGCCCGCGGCTACGCGGCCAGGCGTTCACCCAGAAGGTCGACCAGGCCTGCGCGAGCGTTCGCACCCCCGAGTGTGCCGCGAAGGCCCCCCTGCGGCATCGGCGCCGCCCCCCGCCTCCCCTCTACCCTCCCCCGCTTCGGGAGTCGGGAGGAGGAGGAGGCGGAAGAAGACGAGGAGAAGGAGGAGGAGGAGGCGGGGAGGAGTGTCGGCAGGATCGAAATGGGTACGGAATGAATGGGCACGACTGCGAGCAGCAGTTCCCAGCCATTTTGAAGAAGATTCGTGGTCGTTGTCGCCACGGACGCGGTCTTCTCGAGACCAAAGATCGCCGACCCAACAGTTGCCGCGGCTGTTCATTCCGGGCGTACCAAGAGTGGAGGGAGAAGGAAAGGGATCGAGGAGGCAGTTTCGGATTCGAGGTCTGGGGTTTGCGGGCGTTTTCGTAGTTTCTCGGCGGCTTTCCAGTCTCGGGGTGCCTTCCAGCGGCTGCGCCTCGCCGAGAGCGTTCTAGGGGTGCCCTCGTCACCCCGAACAGCGATCGGAGAGACGAGATATGACTCAGACGCGAAGGGGCAAAGTTAGGGAGTCGGGAAGGGGGGGGGGAGGAGGGGGATCAGGGAGAGGGCGGGAGAGGGGGAGGAGAAGGATGAGGGAGACGAGGAGAAACTTCCTCCTCCTGTCCAACCTTTGGCAGCCGAAGACACGGCGACGATGTTCAAAGGGTCGTCGAGCTTGGAGATGGCGACCCTTCCGATTATTCATTGGCTTTCCACTGAAGAAGTCAATGCCCGGAGTGAGCACGAGGCCACGCTGGCCCGTGAGGTCAATAAACGCATCGTGAATTCGATGAGCCCCGCAGCCACGAGCTTGGCTGAGCGCGCAACGGAACTCAAGGATTGCAAGGCGTGCGTGGCGGTCAAGAAACGCCGTCCTTCCCCTGAATACGAGGCCGAGGCTGGGGGTGACCAGATGACCCCACTTCCACACAGAGCGCCAACCATGCCAGCAGCAGGCGCGGGCCTTCCAAAATCAGCAGCTGCTGCAGCGAACAAAGCCTCGGCAGCAGCGGTCCAGGAGCCCCTGGCGGCCGCGACGGGGTACGTCACCTCCACGCAGTTCAATGGCCAGTCCGCGAAAAGACGATGCGACAGCGGCAGCGGATGGCGCTGTTGCAGCACGAGGACGCGGGTCATCCTGTCCTCTTCTACCCGAAAATGCAGATCGGTCGCCGCAGGCGCCCACCAAGCGCATCGTGCTCCACAACCTGTTCTTGTGCCATGCGAGCGGTGTGGTGTTTGTTTGCCCCCGGCGTCGAATCATTACGTATGTCGCAGCCATGCCAGGGACGCGTCCTCGCAGAAGGAACACATTACGTACGTCCACCACGACTTTTGTATGATCGAGCGGAACGCGGTATCATCACGCGCCTATGGCACGCCCAAGGTGGACAAACCAGACGGCATCGTCATGGGTCTCAGGCAGCATTATTTTCGTGGCATTCATCCGGGCAACCTTCCAATCACTCCGATTATGCTCCCAGCCAGTGGCCAGCAGGACCTTTTAATGTTCACGACGCCGTTGCAGTAGAGTGGGGAGTTGCACGTGCGGCTTGGCTTGCGGTGGGAGCTTCGTTGGCTGCATCAGTCAGCGTCGACAGCCTGACCAGCCTGAGAAATCTTCGCACCGTTGTATTTGTGATTTCCGATCATGATGGGCCTATGATGGCTCGGGGGCGTTTCCAACGCGACGCCCTTCGAGACGGCCAGCATGCTTTTTCAACCGCAGGGGCAGAGGCATTTCCAGCATCCGCCAGGGCCCGCCCGCACCTCGTTGCCAGGACCATGTCATCGCATCAGTGGCTTCACTTTCGCATCCCACGACTGCGGCCCGCCGCCCCGCAACGCTGCGCTTCTCAACGCTGAAGGGGCGACGGTTGCGGCACATGTTCGCAAGGAGGAGCCATGGTCGTGAGCCATGCTATTCGACCAATTCTTGATCCGCCGTTATTTCTGAACTGGCGTTACCTTCCAGGGCCGCCCCGATAACGCTCGGTATTCGATGAACTTTCAGATCTATCCAGGAGGGGAGCTGGACCCAGAGACCAATGCCCGAACCCGAAGACATCATCCGCGCCCTTCCCTGGGACGACACGAATGTTTCATCGGGCGAAGCTTTGCGACTTCCACGCGGGAGCTCCTCTGGGCTGGCTGCGGCAAGCAGGTCAGGCGGGCATTCGAGAGGGGGTGCAATTGAGAAAATTGTACGGTGCGTGCATGTTTGGCACAGGCAGTTGCATGGGCCAAGCTGGCAGCGCAACTGTGGAGCGGAGACAGTCGCCATTTTGATTCCTGTCGTGCGCATTGTGCAGCTTCCGCGCCATCCCTCCCATGCAGCTGGGAAGTGACCGCGGGGGCGTCGCTTGCAGCATCTCGCTAGTTTGGCGCGGGGGGTTGGGACTGCACCCGCGCGAAACCGTCGCTACAATGTGAGCGCCGAGCTGACGTGCGGAAATTCAAACGCACTCCTGGGTTGCAGCCTGCAGCGTGGCGAGCGCCCCGCGGAGCCCCAGAGGGTCGACTGAGCTCGCTCGCATCTCCAACGCGATCTCCGACGGACAGGAAGGAAAGCCAGGGCAGCGGGAGGATGCGCCTGCTTCGAGCGCAACTCTTGCCCATAGTTGCGTACCGCGTCGCGCTGGGCGGGAGCCTGCCAGGGCCGCAGAGGCCGTCTAGCTCCTGCTCATTGTCTTCGCGTCGCGCCGCGCGAGGTGCGAAAAACGGCCGGGGTGCCTTGTTCGCCAGGGGCCTGGCCAGGCATCGAACGGGAAGAAAAAGTGAACCCGCAACGTCCGCGACGTGGGGGTCGCTCCCCCCCCCCCCGTAACGGTATCACGCGTTTACGCGGGTGGTGCCAGCTCCCTTTCAGATATGGCGCCATGCTCGCGGGCGGGTGATGGTGCTGGCAGGCATGTTTTTGATGCTCGCAAGCTTGCTGTGGCGCTTGCAAGCAGCGGGTTCGCCGGGGTTGCTGCAGCTGCTCCTGCTGCTTCTGCTTCCGGCTGCTGCTCCAGTGATCTTCCTGCTCCTTCACCAGTTTTCCTCCTCCGCCTGTGCTCTTCCTGCTGGTCCTCCTGCTACAGTTCCTCCCGCTGTTTCGCCTGTTGCTATCCCCGCTGCTCATGCTGCTGCTCCTCCTGCTGTTCCCCCTGCTGTTCCTCGTCCTGTTCATATTGCTGCTGCTGCTCCTCCTGCTGCTATGTGGCTTATCTGGTTGCTTCTCTGATGTTCCTGCTGTTGGTCCCCCTCATTTTCCTGCCGTTCATGCCTAGACCTGCTGCTCCTGCTGGCCCTGTGGCCGCCACTTCTGTTTTTCCTCTTGCTCCTCCTGATTTCTTTCTTGCTGCTGATCCTCCTGGTGGTCCTCGTGATGCTGTTGTCTTGTTTCTTCTGCAGCTGTTTTAGCTGTTTCCCATGCTCGTGCTCCTCCTGCCGGCGTTGCTCCAGCTGCTCCTCTAGCTGTTCCTCCTGCTGTTTTTTTCCCCGGTGTTGCTGCTCCTGATGCTTTTGCTCCTCCGTTCTTCTTTCGGCTTCTAGTCCTCCTCCTGCTCCTTCTCCCTGTTTCTTCTGCTATTCCTGATGTTGCCGTTTTCTTTTTTCCCTAACAGCGAAGACTGATAGGTTTCTAGTAGGGTCAAAAGAGCATCGTGACTCCTCAGGGGGGTCGGGGCGGGACCCGGGGCGGCTGCCGTCGAAGCCCAAATTGCTTTGGACATCCTCGCGAAATCGCTCTTGGCGCTGCTAGAACTTCATTCCCGGCGTACATTTTACATGCCCGGAGCCAACTGTAGGCCACTTCGTGGTCTTCGAGTTCCCAGATTTCCACTCCCGGCGTACATTTTGGATGCCCGGAGCCAACTGTAGGACACTTCGTGGTCTTCGAGTTCCCAGAAGTCCATTCCCGGGCCACATTTTGGATGCCCGGAGCCAACTGTAGGCCACTTCGTGGTCTTCGAGTTTCCAGAACTCCATTCCCGGGCCACATTTTGGGTGCCTGGAGCCAACTGTAGGCCACTTCGTGGTCTTCGAGTTCCCAGAATTCAACTCCCGGGCCACATTTTGGATGTCCGGAGCCAACTGTAGGCCTGTTCGTCTTCTTCGAGCTCTCAGAATTTTATTCCCGGGCCGCATCCCAAGCCACATGTTGAATTCCCAGAGCCAGCTGTAGGCCACTTCGTGCTCTTCGAGTTTCCAGAACTCCATTCCTGGGCCACATTTTGAATACCCGGAGCCAACAGTAGGCCATTTCGTTCTCTTCGACTTCCCAGAACTCCATTCCCGCGCCACATTTTGAATGCCCGGAGCCTAAGGCACTGAGGCTGACGCTGACGCTGAGGCTGAGGCAGGCTGAGGCTGAGGCTGAGGCAGGCTGAGGCTGAGGCTGAGGCTGAGGCTGAGGCTGAGGCTGAGGCAGGCTGAGGCCGAGGCTGAGGCTGAGGCTGAGGCAGACGCTGAGGCAGGCTGAGGCTGAGGCTGAGGCTGAGGCTGATGCAGGCTGAGGCTGAGGCAGGCTGAGGCTGAGGCTGAGGCTGAGGCAGACGCTGAGGCTGAGGCTGAGGCAGACGCTGAGGCAGACGCTGAGGCTGATGCAGGCTGAGGCTGAGGCAGGCTGAGGCTGAGGCTGAGGCAAGGCAGACTGAGGCTGAGGCTGAAGCAGGCTGAGGTTGAGGCTGAGGCAGGCTGAGGCAGGCTGAGGCTGAGAGTGAGGCAGGCTGATACTCAGGCAGGCTGAGGCTGAGGCTGTGATTGCGAATGCCGTTGCCACTGCGACTGTCATCGCGAATGCGACTGCGACTGTGAGAACAGCAGAATTATACAACTGGATTCTGATCTGAATCTTAAGGAGAATGCTTCCAGATATGCTTCTACACATCGCTGTTAGGTTGCTTTGCCCGGATAATGTTCCTCCGGCTATTCCTTTTTCTGCTCGTGTTTGCTGGTCTGGCGTTCCTCCTCCTTGCCCCCTTTGCTCCCACTTTTGTTGCGCCTCATGCTGCTCTGGTTATCCTCCTGCTTTCCCTCCCGCT